CAGGCGGAGGAGATCTCGCTCCTCATCCTGCGCCAGAAGTCCGCGCGCGCCGCCATGCGGCTGGAGCTGTTTCTGCCGCCGCAGCTGAAGCCCACGCGGATCCCCGACCCCCTGAACCGTCAAGAGGTGCCCGCGAGCCCGGGAAGGGGCGGCGAGGGCCCCCTCACCGCCTCCGTACACACCGGGTCCCAGCTCCTCTCCCCCGCAGCGGAGGCGCGTAGAGACCATCCTGGAGGAGAAAGTCGATGGCAGCATCTTCCCACGTTGACCATGACCCCACAGCGCGCGACCGCCTACATAAAGTTTTCATGCTCCAAGAGCCTGCTGGTCTTTACGCTCCCCCTCCATGTCCCCGGGGAGGGAGGGGAAAGTATGGGTGCTGCCTCTCCCACATCAGACATCGGGGAACAGAGTGGGGCTCCCCCAACAAAGTAGGAAGGTGCTAGTGGGTGGGTGTGGTTAGCGGGACCCCTCACCCCCCAAACCCCCGGCTGTCCCATTAGGCAGCCTAGTGTTCTGTGAGTCCATGGAGGCCAGGCAAGGGGCCAGGGAGAGCCTGGCTCAGCATAGTCACCCCCAGAAAGTAAGGGAAGCCTCAGGGAGAAAATGGGGCCGAAGTGGGACCCCAGATCGCAGGTTATCCAATCAGAGAGTCAGAGAGTAGGGTGACGTTCTGGGCAGGGAAAGTGACTACACAAGCCAAAGCTGGCCTGTGGAGCTGGCAGTGCTGGGAGGTCCTCCAGAGGCCTAGGAGCTTGGGGACGGAGACCCCCCCACACAGAGCCCCTGCTGTCCCAGACAGAAAATCACTCTCTGGTTTTCCTTCCATCCCGAATGGCCTCCTCGGCCCCCTCCGCCTCCCTTTCCAGCCCACCACACACACACACATGCTGGCACACACACGGAGGACAGGAAGGAAGCTGCCACCGTCCCATTCTGACAGACCCATGGCCTGCAAACAGTCTGGATTCTGAAGAGCCTCCACGTTTCTGGACAGACCTTCAAGAATACTCTCCTCCCACTCAGGCTGTCTGCAGAGCCCAGGACTTCTCTCAGCCACCTGGGGTGGGGGTGGGGGGCCGCAGGGACTCAGACAAGCCCCACCGCAGCGGGCCAGGGGTCCTGCAGAGTCAACTGCAGGCAGAACTTATTCCGGCAGGTGAGTTCTTGACCGGCAGAGCTCAGAGCTGGGGTCTGGCAAGGAATCCTGCTCAGTGGCAGTCACTGCCCCTCCCTGACCTGGCTCAGGATAGGACAGCCACATGGGGACCTGGGCCCTCTGCTCTCAGCAAGCCCTTCTCCCCTGGCACTGACCCTTTGCCCCTTTTGGGCAGTTGCTGCCCTTGGCCTTCGTCCACACCCAGAACTGTGTGTGCGGCTGGAGTCCAGAGGCATGGGAGGAGGACAGAGCTAGGCATGGTGTTTCTGGGAGCGAGGTGTTCAGACAGGGATGGGGACGGGATCAGGGGGCAGAAGGGGGCTTGGGCCAGGGACAGAGACAAAGGAAGGAAGGTAGTCTCTGTCCAGAAGTGGTGGCCACTTGCACTGGGACACATGCAGTGTAATAGCCAGCCCTGGCCCCTCTGGCCAAGCTCCCTGCCATCTGGACCCAGCACTCTGTCTCTTGGGACGCGCTGAGTGCCTAGGATGATTTCATCTGTTTAGTAAAAGCACATTTTATTTCATCACTTCTCTGAGCCTCCATTTCTAAAAAGGAGGTCTCAAGGGTCTTGCTTGGCGCCATGCCACCCACAGTGATTACTCCATAAAACAGAGGTCACTCTGCATCAGGCAGGCACCTGAGGACAGAGGAACAAGACACGCACAAAGCCCTGAGGAGAAGGCCAGCAAGAGGGTGGCCTCACAGATGGCTGGACACATGGGGTGCCCTTTGACCCTCACACCACGGAGTGGGCCCTAGGTCTGCAGAGGAGGCCAGGAAAAGCGGCTGAGGAAAGTGACAGGGCCTGGAGGTGGCTTCCACCATGAGGCTGTGAGGGATCAGGTGGGTCCTGGGCCGTGAGCTCACTCTCTGGACAGAGTCCTTGGTTCAAATCCCATCTCCACAGTTACCTGCCAGGTGCCCAGCCCACCAGGGCTCCTCCGATGCAATACAGAGACACTCTGCAGAGAGACCCCCCGGAGGATACGCGGGAGACCCAGAGGGCGGAGATAAGGGGAATGGAGAGCAGGCCCAAGTGGCCAGAGGACATGGGGCATGGTCCAACGCAGGAGAGAAGTGCGCTGACCCCGGCCCACGGCCAGCTGCACCCCTGAGCCCCGTATTTCTTAGGAGATGGGTAGAGCCCCGGCCACACCAAGCAGTGCGAGTCAGCCTGGCCGTGTGACTTTGACCAGGTGCGACCCATCTCTGCAGGACCTACCTCTCAGGGCTGTTTCTTGGGCTGAATAAGACGCAGCCACCTCCTGTCTGGATAGTCTTCCGGCCTCGGCCCTGTCCCGGCCAGCCTGTCATCCTGTTGGCCAAGCCCCTTGGGCATAATCATCAAGAGGCACCGCAGCCTCCAGGGCCCCCCGGCCTCTCTGACCTGGCCCCCACTCTCCTCCAGCGTGGCCTCCACCCTCCAGGCCCGTCCTGAGCCCTGGAGCGCTCCCTCCTCTGCTCCCCCTAGTCGTCCTCACCTCTCACCCAGTCTGCATCTGGTCTGCTCCACGGCTGCTCTGTCTTGCTCGTTGCTAGGTCCCACTGCCTGCCACGCAGAGGACACCAGGTACTCGCTGAATGGTGAAGAGTGCCTGGGAAACCTCCCTTTGCATCCCAGGACGTCTAAGAAACGTGCAGGAGTAAGGACTTACGAGCAGGGCCAGCTGCAGGAGCTCACCAGGAGTGCCCGCACTGCGGACAGGAGCCACACGTGGTCTGAGAGCCCGGGGCCCTTTCCAGAGCAGGGTTAGGGCCCCTGTGACACTGGCCGAAAGCATGCTGGGATAAGGAATTGAACTAACAGCTGTACCAGGTCATAAAATATGAAGAGAGTCAGCCAAAGAGAAGGGGCAGGACATTCCTGGCAAAAGTAGGGTGTGGCTTTAAACTGCGGAACACCTTGGGGCGACTGGAGCAATCTGAAGGGACTCAGCCAGGCACCACGGATAGGGGCACTTTGTGACTGCAGATGTGAGAACCCATACCAGCACTTCAGTACAGGACGCCCACCCCTTCCTTGGAAAGTCCGCTACAGCTCGGTGACAGCGCGCTCTCCTCCCCATTTTACAGGCGAGGGCACCCAATCTGGGAGAGGATAGGGCCCAGGGGAAGTGACCACCAGACTGTCCTTTCCAGCGGCCTTTTCTTATTCAGGTGGGACAAGGAGCGTACGTGGAAGCCGGCGTCTCGAGGGCCCTCGTGCCCTCGCATCGGGCAGCAGGCTCCTGGCCCGTCCACATGAATGGCGAAGCAAGAACCGCCCGGCTGAGCAGAGTCGGGGGCACGGCCACACCCCCACTCACTACGGTGCTAGCTCGGGCGCCCACAGGCCAGAGGTCCCATTGTTAGCATCTATGTCCGCCAGCCCCCCTAAGCGACAGTGGGGACCGAAGCGCCCGGACGGACCTGCGGGGGCAGCAGGCTCCTGGCCCGTCCACATGAATGGCGAAGCAAGAACCGCCCGGCTGAGCAGAGTCGGGGGCACGGCCACACCCCCACTCACTACGGTGCTAGCTCGGGCGCCCACAGGCCAGAGGTCCCATTGTTAGCATCTATGTCCGCCAGCCCCCCTAAGCGACAGTGGGGACCGAAGCGCCCGGACGGACCTGCGGGGCGCTGGGGAGGGGGCTGGTGGGGCGCAGGGCCCGCGGAGCG